GGAGCTCACATTGTTATAGGTATTTTTTATGTTACACGTGAATTAACAATGTAAGGCCAATGTTTACACAAATATTTGCCTACTTGCGTACTTGCCAATTACACCAGTCGTGTGGGACCACCTTAAGAACAGAATAAACAATAGTCATCAATTGTAAAAACAGATTGAGTTCCTATAAATAGTTATTCTTATTTTTATAGCTGGTGTTTATATTTGACCCACACCCTTCTCCATATCTAATCCGACATTTGGGAAATTTTCGCTAGTTTAAACGTAAATTAACCTAACTCAAAATCTAATTTCTACACAAAATTCTTATTTGGGCGATATTACATCGATAAAAGCAAGATTGACGATTTTTAAGCAACATGTATAAATCCATATCAAACAATTTTATTTCTAACAAAGACTGCCATGGAAAAACAAAATTGCTTTCCTGTCACTGTTAATCTCTCAAACTGTAATTTAGTAAACTTAAAGTGTTTTTTAAACAGAATGTTAACATTACAGGAAAAAGTTTACGTGATTCAGTGTTATGGAACCGGGAAAAAACCGATTATTGCTTTATTTTGTGAAAAATTTCCAAATACTGGAATTAAAAGAAGTACTTGTTGGCGTTTAATCAAAAGATTTCTTACAGCAGGAAGTATTCACTCTAAGAAAAAAAAATTATGATGAAACTGATTAACTATGATTAACTGTTTTCCTTTGTGGGCGAACACACACTTAATTTCTTGTGAACATTTTCAGAACGCTTTGTTTATTTCTCCCGAATATCTGAATCTCAAAACAAAAAGTCGTAATAAAGTACTATTAACGAAAATATTAAATAATGGGTTTTATCAAAGTAGGCTGATGAAAATTTGCATATGGCCATAACTTTTCATTCTGAATAAATTTTTTTAGTAACATTTTACCATACTGTAAACACAAAAGGTACTTTACCTGACACACAAGAAGTTTTAGCTTCAGTATCAACACTCAAACACCCCAAAAGATGACAGCTAATATCGAAAAAAATTTACATTTTATAAGAGTCGTTTCACCTATCCGGGGACACACTGTATAATTAATTTATATTTTAGGCCGTAGACACGACTGCAGTAACATTATCGTTTATGCTTTACCACTTAGCAAAATTCCCCGAAATACAAGTATAATAAATATTATTAATTTAAATCAAGCATTTAAAACTATTTAATCAAATTTATAGCAAAAAGCATTCGAGGAAGTTCACTCAATCCTGGGCGAAGACATCCACCAAACAATAACAAACCAACAAGTAATGCAGATGAAATATTTGGATTTAGTTATCAAAGAATCGATGAGATTAAATACGACTGCTCCTGTATTTTTACGAACACTTGAACAAGATGTACCTTACGAAAAAACCACGCTACCCAAAGGATTAATGGTTTTTATGATCCCGTTTATGATGCATGTTGACCCTGAATTATATCCAGATCCCGAAAAATTTATTCCCGAACGGTTTCTCCCGGAAAATTTGAACCCAAATAGATATAGTTACGCACCTTTTAATCTTGGTGTTCGGAATTGTATTGGAAAATTGTACGCAATGGTTTCGATGAAAATTGCGTTAGCTAAGATGTTGCTTAATTACGAGTTTGTGGACGTTCACCATCAACTTTGTTTATCCGTGGAGGTTACTTTGCAATCAAAAACTGGGATTCGAGTTGGAATACGTAAAAGAAATTACGTGGAAAAGAACGAATGATATTGTAATCAATTATATATTTATATTTCATTTTCTTTCTTGATGGCATGTTTCGCTTTAAAACTTGTAATAAACTTAGTAACAATTTCTACATTGTAAATAATAGCCGTTATTACTACAACACACACGAATTAAAAATTTTATAAAGGAAATAAAAAAGGACAGTATTAAAACATCGAGGAAATTGATCAATTGTCAATTAAAATAATTATTTTGAATTTATTGACTAACAGATTTGTAGTGATAAAATATACCTAGTTTACAGGGAAATTAAAATTATGTTATTTTATGTTTTATTATGTATCTGAATGACGTTCCCAAATTTCAGGGTTTATTCTTTAGTAAAATTTAAGGGTACTCTCTTATATGAACTATGAGCGACTTCGACTCCCCTGGGGAGCTACGCCCCTTCAAAAATGGCGGAAAATTTTGGTTTAATTTAATTTGGAAAATATCATTTAGTTTTGAAGATATTAATTCTTAAACATGATGAAAAATGTTAGTAACTTTTACGTTATATCGGATAACTTAAATGATTTTTGAAAATCGAATTCTTAAGAACTTGTTCTCATTTGTTAATTTATAAAGAAAAGCATGCTCTTTTAACTGGCGTAACCCGTTTTTCAAAATATCATTTAGTTTTGAAGATATTAATTCTTAAACATAATGAAAAATGTTAGTAACTTTTACGTTATTTTGGATAACTTTAAAACTCTCTGAAAAATCGAATTCTTAAGAGTTTGTTTTCAAAGTTTATTGATTTATAAAGAAAAGCATGCACTTTTAACTGGTGAAATCCGTTTTTGAAAATATTATTTAGTTTTGAAGATATTAATTCTTAAACATGATGAAAAATGTTAGTAACTTTTACGTTATTTTGGATAACTTCAAAAATCTCTGAAAAATCGAATTCTTAAAAATTATTCTCAAAATTTGTTGAATTATAAAAAAAACATGCTCCTTCAAGTGGTGCAACCTGCTTTTGAAAATATCATTTAATTTTAAAGATATTAATTCTTAAACATTATGAAAAATGTTAGTAACATTTACGTTATTTTGGATAACTTTAAAAATCTCTGAAAAATCGAATTCTTAAGAGTTTGTTCTCAAAGTTTGTTGGTTTATAAAGAAAAGCATGCTATTTTAAGTGGTGCAACCTGTTTTTGAAACCATCATTTAATTTTAAAGATATTAATTCTTAAACATGATGAAGAACGTTAGTAACTTTTACGTTATTTTGAATAAATTTCATAATCCCTGAAAAATTGAATTCTTAAGAATTTGTTCTCAAAGTTTATTGATTTATAAAGAGAAGCATGCTCTTTTAAGTGGTGCAACCTGTTCTTTAAAATATCATTTACATATCATATCATTATGATTAAAAACACGGCCGATATGATTTTTTGAAAATTTGATGTTATTTTTGATTTATAATTTGACAAATTCTTCTACCGGGTGTCCCTCAAAAGTGGCTCACCCCCATATTTTTCTTTATTATTGGTGATATAAGAAAACCATTTGGAATGCATAGTTAGGTCGCTAAAACGGATTATTACGACATGAAATCATTCTTTTTGTACTCCCGGTTACACCGGATGTGAGTACTAATTTCGTTTTTTTTTTTAAATCTATAATTTTTTTTTCTTCAGTTGGGTAGACAGTATAATTTCACATAACTTTTACTTGAAAAAATTTTCACGATCGCTTATAATTTTTGAAAAAAAAAATTATTTTCGTTATTTTTTAACGTTTTAGTACCTTCGGGAAATGTATTACAACTTTTGACGCATAGTAGCTAGGTTAAGAGTACAAGCTACGTTATGTCCCTCTTGATTTGCTATTCCTCGAGCAGTGATCACTGCTATGCTTTAGTTAGTGGTTCTTTTTTAATAATGGTGTAAATTAACAGTTGTATTAAATTAGTTTTAAAAGAAAAACGCTATCCAACAATTAAATTTAATTCAATTGTAAGTTCGAAAAAACTAATTTTCTAAATTTTCAAAATGCTCCCGCCTCGATTTTGACATAATTGTATCTTGCGTATTGTCGATCTAACGACTCGACGTTATTCCTGCGGAGATATTTAGGTAATACAATTTCTAACTCGATTTATTTTCCAATACCTCACGAGACCTTACTGGTGTATTATACAGCTCATTTTTGATTTTGCCCCATAAAAAGAATCTAAAGGTGTGAGGTCAGGTGATCTGAGAGGTTTTAACCAAAATAAAGTAAACAATCCAAATTATAATGTACAATGGACATTGTAAGTTACTATCAGCTACAGAACATTTAGTGTAAAAGAACAAAAAATAAAGAAAAAAATAAAAAATAATTGAATTAAACTTAATTGTTTGATAGCGTTTTTCTTTTAAAACTAATTTAATACAACTGTTAATTTACACCATTATTAAAAAAGAACCACTGACTAAAGCATAGCAGTGATTACTGCTCGAGAAATAGCAAATCTAGAGGGACATAACGTAGTTTATACTATTAACCTAGCTACTATGCGTCAAAAGTTGTAATACATTTTCCGAAGGTACTAAAACGTTATAAAATAACGAAAATAATTTGTTTTTCAAAAATTATAAGTGATCGTGAAAATTTTTTCAAGTAAATGTTATGTGAAATTATACTATCAACCAAACTGAAGAAAAAAAAATTATAGATTTAAAAAAATAGCGAAATTAGAACTCACATCCGGTATAACCGGAAGTACAAAAAGAATGATTTCATGTCGTAATAATCCGTTTTAGCGACCTAACTATGCATTCCAAATGGTTTTCTTATATCACCAACAATAAAGAAAAATATGGGGGTGAGCCACTTTTGAGGGACACCCGGTATATCAATTTTTTCCTGGAAATTTCTATAATATTACATAATAGTTTTTATATCACATTATAATGTAGAATCATTAAGGTTCAATTTAACGTACATATCATATCATTATGATTATAAACACGGCTGATATGATTTTTTGAAAATTTTATGTTATTCTTGATTTATAATTTGACAATTTCCTCATTAACAATTTTTTCCTGGAAATTTCTATAATATTACCCAATAGTTTTTATATCACATCATAATATAGAATCATTAAGGTTCAATTTAACGTACTATCGGCCAAACCTTATTTACTACATGGCGTAAGGGACAGAAAACAAATCCCCCGCACGGTTGCTTTGCCGAGTACGGCCGAAGAATCGAAGACTGGAGGGGCGTATTCATTTTCTCTCGAACCTTTGCTCTAGCCTTGTCGTCTCTTCAACCCTGAAGTGCCGGGCGCCCGATGCCAGCTTAAAGTCAAGCGAGCCTTGGATTCGAACAAAAATACACAATTTCGTTTTTACAATTCAAATAACTGTACCAATGTTATGACGTAGTCGATTTTAAAAATTCATAAAACAGTCAAATATATTCATTAAAATAAAATAATTGAACTTTAATAAGTGAAAAAAATTGTTTCTTAATTTTAAATACGTTTCTATACTGTATATATTCGTAAAATTAAAGAATGTAGTTAAAATTCAATGTAAAAATCGTCTCATAATTTCCCTTAGTAATATTTTTTTTGTTATCTTATTTGAAATGCCATTTTAACCGTTTAATATTATAGAAAGTCTCAATAATTTCAAGCCATTTACGACCATTAATGCGTTTACGCACCNTGGACAGTAAACAAATGGATAAGGCGAGGCGCTTTGAATGGCGAGAGGGGTTTAAAGAGCACACGAGTAGTGCCAAGAAAAACAACTGCCGATGAAGATGAGCGAATTGTCAATTATGCTCGTATGCACCCAACTTGCCCATCAAGAGCTATCCGGCAGGAATTAATAGTCGACTGCTCCCTTCAAACCATTCGAAACCGTTTAAACGAGAATGGTATTTTAAAATAATACATAGAAAATAGCAGAATGACTAAACAATTTTAATAATTTTATAGGTTTGCGGGCTAGAATACCGGCAGAAAAAATTCAGCTGTCACCCCAGAATGCCCAGCACAGATTGAGATTTTGTGAAGAAAATATAAACCGGGATTGGCGAGGTGTCATATTTTCGGATGAAAAGACGTTTTTGTCATCCCAAAATTCGAAACAGCGAGTTTGGCGTCGTAGTGGGACGAGATATGACGCCGAAAATGTCGTTACGATGGCAACCAGTGGACGAGTCTCACTTGGTAAGCTCTAGAACCTTGTAACTACTCTATGATGATGATATCTGACGAATTACTACAATTACCACAATAACTGTTTATCAGGTGTATGGGGTTGGATCAGCGATGCCGGGCCTGGAGCGTTGGTTAAAGTTTCGCCCGCAACATTTACTGCTCGGCATTATGTTGGGGTTTTGGAAGAAATTTTTATTCCAAGTGTGAGGGCAGTATATCCTGAGGATGAGGTGGAGGTACTAACATTTGTACAAGACAACAGCCCCATCCATACCGCTCGGTTAGTCGAGGAGTGGTTTCAAGACAATAATAACGTAGAACGATTAAAATGGCCTCCACGCTCGCCCGATTTAAATCCCATTGAAGAGGTGTGGGGTTATATGGTACGCGGGTGGGAATTTGACGAACGATTTCGGGACCGAGCTATTTTAGAAGAATACGTTATGCGGAAATGGGATAGTCTTCGTGGCGGGGATTTATGTCAGCGATTGGTCGGCTCAATGACATCCCGATTAGAAGAATGTCAAAATAATAACGGGTTATACACCCATTATTAAATTTTGACATAACAAATTTTATTCATTATTAAGTAGGTATAATTTTTATTATTAAAGTGTTCTTAATATTTGATGAAATCTTTTTAATTTTTTCAATGCTGACCGACAAAACCAAGTGAGAAACAATAAGCGCATACCTGGCTGTGGTCCTCAAGACGAAAAAGATAAAACTCTTCATCCCGCGGGATGAAGAGTCCCTTCCAAAGCCGGTAAGTTGAGACAACCTTAATAAAATTAATATTAACCATCAATATTTTTTTTCTTGCAAT